GGGGAATCTGTCCAGCTCATAATGACCCCCATCCTCTAAGAAGTATACCCTCAGCCACCCCAGGCCATATTTAACCTTATACCCCTGCCCTACTGGTCATAATTTTCTGTGCTAGGAAAGGAAGGTAACCAACCTGGGCCAATCAGACTCTTCACCTGAGAGTTTGGGATTCAAAATAGCCTTTTCTCTGTGTGTGGCTAAAACTGAGTTCCTATAAACTGGGAAATTAATGGGGTAACTGCTATTCTGTGAACAGAAAAAAGATGAGATAACAGGGTCATGGAGAAGTATGAGGTCGAGAGAGAGCACTGAGGATGTTTGGGCAGTGGGGTGCCCTCTGTCTGAATGCCTGTCCTCTTCAGAGCCTACCCCCCTGCAGGCCTCATTGTCCCTTGGAGTCTGTCAGCCCATTATCATTCTAATAATCCTCTATTTTGCTTAAGACAGACAAAGTAGATTGCTTTATTTGTAGCTAAAAATACTTTCACAAAGACAACAATAAAATTGCTCAACAATAGGGACACCAAGAACACTGAAGAGACCAGCAATAGCAAAACCATAATCAGGGAAATAATTACAGAAAATTTTCCAGAATTGAAATCTAATCAAATATATCCTGAGAGAATCTGGAAGTACATTCTGAACTAATTATCAAAGGAGCAGACCTAGGAAATGCTAATCAAGGTTATAAATTTTAAGGCCAAGATAAAATTTTAAATCTTGCCTCACTGATTCTTTGCATAGTGTCATAATCAGTTACCCACAATCCCAAAGTGTGGAAAAGCAGAATTTTTAAATAAATTGTATGTCAAAATTCAACAAAACCTGACTTGAACTGAAATGAGGCTATTTATGGTCTTTATTTATAATACTTTGTGTAAATATTCACGTTTCACTGCAGAAATATTCATGCTCTGATGACGGGGTGCTGGCCCTGAACCTCCCAGGGGATGTTACATTACATACAACTCAGAATATGTACTGAATTGTCTTTTTAAGATATAAATAAAAATATCTGAATTTTGAAAGATATCTGACACCAGAAAGTTCATATAGGAACTGTGGATCTCTATGGATCAACTGACCAATCTTGAGTTAGTTCTAGTGTATTGTGAGGTGAAGGCCCTTGCACATTGGAGAACTATCTCTTTGCCAGATTGACATGATTGTGATCATGACCCTTATTTGCTTTTCACTGTTGTGCCACCTCTTGCATGTCTTTGGGTCACTCAGGGCTCTCCTCTTACCCAAAGCCAGCTCTGTGTGGACCATCCCCCATCCTCACACAGGTGCGCCCTGACAGGGTCTGCCCCAGATCCCACAAACTGATACCTGCTTCCCACCAGGGGCTTCTCTGTCACTGCTGCTACATGGCCCTTGGCATGTGCCAGCCAGACACAGTGCAAGTTGGCATGCCACAGGGAGGAACTCTGACCAATGAGCGATGGGAGCCAGCAAGTAAGTGTTCCTGCTGTCTCCCACTCAACCCCACAGACAGTCCTGAAATGCAGTTCATACTCCTTCTCAGACAATCCTATGGGATGGAGCAACCAGCGCCCCATGTGGTGGCCAGCACGCTGATGCTGCCTGGTTTGGCTTTGTCTTTTCACTGGCTGCCTCCACACCACTCACTTCTCTTCCCCGGGAATGTAAAATTATAATAAATTTTGTTTGGGGTATAAATATTGAAACATAAATTAATTAATTAATTAATTAATTAAATGAAAGTTTCACAGTAATCAATTTTTTAAAAAATCCAATATAGTTAAAGATGTGACTTTAAATCTTAAAAGTATCATTCTTAATACAAAGATCATTGCCAAATGCTACCAAAATTGCATGTAAGCTCTCATACATTTCCAGTTTTTAAAATGACTGCTATGTTCTTTTAAAGTAGAATCTCAAATAAAATTAGAAACAAAATAATCTGTGAACACCCAAAAGACTTCTCTAATAGAAGCCTTTGCCCATAAAACACCAGTTTTATTGTATTTGTTTAATTACCAGTGGTGACCACCTAACATTCTTGTAGTGATTAAAGGTTCACAGTGTTAAAATTACATTACGTCTGAGTTATAATCAAAAATAATTACACTGCAACAATTTCTAGATGTAATCCACCAAATGCAATTGAAATTCATGACATTGTCACCACTCCAGCTTTGGCATTCTTCATTGCCTCATAGAGATTCTAAGTGGATCAGCTCTCAGGTGTGGATAAATAACACCTGCCGGTGCAGAACCAAGCCCAGGCCGCCTGGCAAGTTGGATTTGAGATTCTTTAGGGAAAAAAATTCCAGAGGCTGTGAACACATAACATAAAGCTGGACACCCAGTCAAAAGCACATACCTCATGTACTATTTTTGAGACTCTAGAAATGTAGCTTCTTTACATAAAACAGAAAAGGGAAACGGGAAGAAAAGGATTTCTGACAGCATCTGGGCACCCAAGCAATGACGTGATGTGGATAATGAAGCTGGCCACATTATCCACCTGTCTTACAAACTTAAGAGTCTTTGCTTTCTACAGCAGTTAATACTCCTCAAATTTTGCAGTAAAACAAGTTTTTATAAAAATTAAGATAAAATAAGACATTTTAAGCATCTTAGCAGGGCTCACTTTTGAAGAAAAACTATGAGTAAAGCTTTGGTTAAAGAGAAGACTCCCTGACATCACCTCAAATGAACCTTTCTCATAAACCTATGCTTTCATGTGGGGTGGGCTTCGGAAGAGGTTTTACTTTGTTTTATTTTTTAAATTTTTTATTGTTTTATCTATTATTTTTTTCCCAAAATATTATAGGGGTACAAATGTTTAGGTTACATATGTTGCCTTTGCCCTGCCCAAGCTACAAGCATGTCCATCCCCAGACAGTGTGTACCACACCCATTAGGTGTGAATATACCCATCGCCTCCTCCCCTCTCCCACCTGCCTGATACCCAATGAATGTTACTACCATATGTGCACATGTTGATCAATTAGTACCAGTTTGACAGCAAGTACATGTGCTGCTTGATTTTCCATTCTTGTGATACTTCACTTAGGAGAATCGGCTCCAGCTCTATCCAGGATAATACAAGAGGTGCTAGATCACCACTGTTTTTTTGTGGCTCAGTAGTACTCCATGGCATAAATATACCACATTTTATTAATCCACTCATATATTGATGGGCACTTGGGTTGTTTCCACATGTTTGCTGTTGTGAATTGTGCTGCTATAAACATTCGAGTGCAGATGTCTTTTTTATAGAATGCCTTTTTTTCCTTTTGGTAGATGCCCAAAAATAGGATTGTTGTATCAAATAGTAGGTCTACTTTTAGCTCTTTGAGGTATCTCCATATTACTTTCCACAGAGGTTGTACTAGTTTGCAGTCCCACCAACAGTGTATTAGTGTTCGTATCTCTCTGCATCCATGCCATTATTTGTTCTTTTGGGACTTTTTGATAAAAGCCATTCTCACTGGAGTTAAGTAATATCTCATTGTGGTTTTGATTTGCATTTCCCTGCTGATTAGAGATGTTGAGCATTTTTTCACATGTTTGTTGGCCATTAGTCTGTCTTCTTTTGAAAAGTTTCTGTTCATGTCTTTTGCCTACTTTTTAATGGAGTTGTTTCATATTTTCCTGTTGATTTTCCTGAGTTCTATATATATTCTAGTTATCAGCCCTTTATCAGATGTGTAGCATGTGAATATTTTCTCCTAATCTGTAGGTTATCTGTTTGTTTTCATGATAGTTTCTTTGGCTGTGCAGAAGCTTTTTAATTTGATCAGGTCCCATTTATTTATTTTTGTTGTTGCTGTGATTGCCTTTGGGGTCTTCTTCATAAATTCTTTGCCTTCCAACATTTTCTTCTAGAATTCTTATGGTTTCATGCCTTAGGTTTAAGTCTGTTATCCATCATGAGTTGATTTTTTTGAGGGGTGAGAGGTGCAGATCCTGTTTCAGTCTCCTACATGTGGCTATCCAATTTTCCCAGCACCATTTATTGAATAAGGATTCTTTTCCCCAGAGTATGTTTTTGTCTGCTTTGTCAAAGATCAGATGGTGATACGAGGATGGTTTTATACCTTGGTTCTCAGTTCTATTCCATTGGCCTATGTCTCTGTTCTTGTGCCAGTACCATGTTGTTTTGGTTACTATAGGCTTGTAGTATAGCTTGAAGTCTGGTAAATTGATGCTTCCCAATTTGTTCTTTTTGCTTAAAGTTGCTTTTGTTATACAGGGTCTTCTCTGGTTCCATACAAAGCACTTTGTTTTGTTTTAAATAATGACACCAATACAGATAACTGTGAAATTGATACAAAAACTCAAAGGAAAGTTGAGAATGTCTATGGAAAGTGGATGATGCCAAAGGTTGACACGTTGGTGGCAAGCTCCATCTGAAGGAGAGCCATGTCTCAGGTGAGGACAGGCCCAGCCTCAACACAGTGTTGGAGAGAGAGGAGAGGTATGAGAGCTATAGCACAGCAAAATGAGAGAGAAGATAGTGGCGGGACAGCATGGGCGAGAGAATTTGCTGTGTGGGGAAAACATGTGCTGGACGCACCGTCAGACAAGGAGAGTGGGCCTGTGCAGAGCTCTTGCAATTCTCCAGGCCCTCATCGGGTCTCATTTAATCGATTTAATTGTTATGTGGAGCTGCACGGAAGGCACAACTGGCCTTGCTAATTAGGACTTCCTGTGTCTTCTGGGAACATCTTAAAGATGTTGGACCCTGGAGGTGCTGAGGACCCATGGCACTGAGTCGGCAGGGGCTGGAGATGCACACATCTCTCTCCCTCCCTCTCTCTCAAAGGAAACAAAAAGAGAAGGCTTGCTTTTTTCCCCCTGCTGCGGCAGCCACCCTCCATCTCAGCCCTCTCTGGCCTCCTCACCATCACAGCTGCTCATGGGTGATGCCAGTGTCCGGGAATACACTCTGAAACCTGTCTATCCAGACTGTAATATCAATTGCAAAGCCTATCAACAAAAGCTAACAAAAAAATTAGACTCACCAAGATCCAAATGAATGCCAGGGACAAATGAATTGAGAAAGAAGGTGAAGATAACGATTCCCAACACCGTCAGGCATTTGGCAAGCAGAATCCTGTCTGATATCCTGTGCTGTCAGAGAGAAGAACACAACTCATTTACTCAGTACAACCTTCTGATTCCTGCAACGTGTCCATAATCCTACATGACTCCAATCACTACACTTCTTATGATGAAAAATATAACATCTCAAACTTGAAGGAAGATAAGAAGGTAATGTGTTACAAGGAAAACTGTACAGATTCAGGATTATAGCATTCAGAATCTTTATGAAAAATAAACACAAATGAGGTAAAATGCAGTATAGCTCTTTTACACAACACCTGACTAAACAGCTTTTCAATAGAACATGGAGATTGTCGAGCTGCTCCCAACCTTGCCCCAGCATTAGGTGAGATGACACGTGCATTTCTACAGGTGCCTGAGTGGTCGCAGCACTTTAAGTTCAACTTCCCTTCCCTATTATGCAAAGCCAGGCTCACGGCGGCAATGAGGTTCGAACATTCTTGCAACACCTTGACCCTTGCATAAGACTTCTTTCATGTAGTGCTCACAAGGACCTTGGAATGCAGGTGGTGTCCCTCATAGCTGGGATGACACCCGTGATTCCCAGTCACTTGGCCACGGGTGAGCGCTGAAGGCACACCGTCCTTTGCAACACCTCCACAACCCCCAGAGTCACAGGGCAAGATGGGGCACTTTCCCCCTGAGTCCCTGAAGCACACAGTGCTCCACAGCATGTCAGGCCAGGGCAGGGGAGCATGTGCAGATGGGCTAACAGGCCCCCTGTGTGAATCAGCCCCATGGTGTGAACTGACAACTTAAGTGTGGTGCCACCAGCACATCTGTCTCCCTCTCAGTCTATCTAGGTTTAGATAAATATGTATCTCTATGATTATAGATTTATAGTAAATATATCTACATATAATCATAGACCACTATATCTATCTAGACTTAGATAGACATGGATATATAGATATATAGAGGTAGAGTAGAGCCACAGATAGATTTTCTCTCTTGGTTCCTCTGGTCACGCAGTTAAAGCTGCTGCCACCAAAAACACAAGCATACCCGTGCATGTTGCTCAGCCAGCCCACAAGACCACTTGCTGGGCATCTGCCCTCCTTCCTGCCTCCTGTGAAGGCTCCTGGCTGGGCCAGCCCCTCTCATCTTCCCCTGCCCACCTCCAAGGAAGGCCAATTTTGCTGCATGATTCTGTGTCAGAGAATTAGGAGCAAAGGGTCATGGCCAGAAAACAATAAGCACTCAGAAAAGAGTGATGTGAGTTCTCATAAGATGTAAGAGGAGGCACCACAAATCTTCCCTGAGGGCACATGAGCCCTAGAAAGCAGGCCCTGCCACAGCCAGCTCAAAGACTGGAGATGGAGAAGCAGGCAGGTGAGGAGTATGCCAGCATCACTCAGCTGGTGCACGTGGAGGTTTCTTTTGGTGTCTGTCAGAGTTGCACCTTTTGGCTATCTGGGGTCCTTTCAGTAGTAATTCGTAGATGTGATAAAGGGATATTTCCAAGCCCTTGCCTCTGCCTTTCATCTCTCCCCAGTCGTCACCCACCAGGTGCATGGAGCGGTTCACATTCTCTTCCCTTGCTCCTGGTTAAAACAACACAGTCCAGCACAGAGAGCAGGGTCTGTGTAAATGTGGTATGACGAAGGTGTCCATCCTTCTTCTCTAACCCTGACCATCTGTATGGGACTGAGCTTGTAAACAGAGCCCACAAGCCCAAAGCCCTTAAAGAACATGTTACCCACCAGGACCCCAACACCTAAATCTCCTTCGGCAAAGGACAAAATGTTTTTAGCGTAATTAGCGAGTGGATGTTCAATCTCTCCCTAGAAAATAAACTACATGGACTTGAAATTTACTGAGATGCAAATGGCTCCTAGCACATCTTGAACAGAGCCCTCTCGGCTGGGAGAGGGGCCCTGTGCATCCGCAGGTGGGCTGAGAAAGTCTGCCACAGCAGGAAAATGAACAAAAAAAAAACCCAAAATGAGCTCTGCCCCCAGAAGTCAGAGACGTTGGCAGAACAACACGCATCCCGTGTCTGTCCCCAAAGCTGTTCGGTCACACGCAGCATGCCTCACAGGTCTCAGCTGCCATCACCTCTCTGCAAGATGAGAATCTCGAGACCTGCCTTTCAGGGACAGAAGGGGGCTGGGGAGTCACAGGCACCAGCTCAGAGGGCAGGCCCTACGTGTCTCTCTAGGGGATGCGTGAAGGGCACCTCAAAGGTTATATCAAAAGTTAACTTCAATTTCCTGACAGAATAAGCCTACCAAGCCTGGAAAACATTCCTCCAACCCCCACTCCATTAACTCATAGAAATAAACAACGTCTTGTGAACAATGACAGGAATAAAAAGAGAAACGGTTTTCAGTCATAACTTCACGTGAGGTAAAGCAAAGGAATCAATGCTGTCTCCTTCAAGAGGGAGTCAGAAATCGCTGGGAAAAGAAACCGCCATACCTTCTTTTGTAGTTCCTGGATATTGGTCTCCCAATTTTTATCTTCCTGTGAGATCTGTCTAAAAAAAAGGACAGGCTCATTATTTCCCCAGCGCAGCCATATGAGGGGCAGACTTGTCATGGGAGTGAGGTGGGGCTCGGCATGCTGACTGGGAAAGATGTTCACTCTGTATTTCCGAAGAAAAAGGATACATAAAATGATTGAATGTCGAAAGATGTGTGAGGATATGCATGTGAGAGCATGAGTTTAGGACACGTCATGAAGAACCTGTGGAACATACAAACAAGGGCAAGTCTCTCTGACTTTCCTCTTTATATATACTTTCTACTTTCCTGAACTTCTTCGTTTCCAACGAGGGCATTATACCTTTACATTTACAACTAACTTTTACAACTAACTAAAGCAAAAAACAGTAAAAGAAATGCCACTTGCTTTAAAATTGATCAAGTTTGAGAACAGTTTATGTCCGCATTCTCCCCGCTGTGATGATGTCCTCCCACCCCTGTTTCAGGCCCTTCGTTCGCTCCCACTTGCCCATCCTTTCCAACCTTTCCAACTCAGCCCACCCTTCTGGTTTCTTTTCTCCCACAGCAATCAGGGAAAAGAAAGTGCACAGTGATTTCAGTGAGTGTCACAGGAGACTGGCCACACAGCCTGTCCAGGCCCTAAAGGAAATCACAGCAGCCCAGTTGAATGATTCTGAGGACAACACTGAAAAAGAGAATGTAAGAACAGGACCCACACAGCTACAACATTCTAATCTGCTCCTCAGCAACTATGCGGCCTTGGGAAGCCACCATCCTCCCCAGGCCTCAGTTTCCCCACCTGTGACCAACAAAGGATGAGCTATGGGGAACTTGGTGAATCTCGGAGCCCATGTGTTTCTTCAGTTTGTAGCCCTGAGATACACTGAGTGTATATTTCACACCCAATGCCAGAATGATCTACTCCCACGTCTTTGATTTATAAAGTGTCTCCTTTAAGACCTACGCCTGCCACTGAAGTTGGTCATTCCTTCCCCAGCCTACAGCCTGAGGACACAGGTGCTGCCTCTCCAGCGTCACTGGGTGGAGCTGGGTCCCAGGCTGGGGACGAAGCCGATGGCTGCTGCACCCCTGGATTATGTGCATCTCTGTGTGACAGCTTGTGCCCTTCTCCCCCAACTAACAGACCAGACCTTGAGACAGCCATGCAGGGTGACCCCTCAGGGGTCAGCTGGTTTCAGCAAACTGCAACATGCAAGACCACTCTCGATTTTGATCACAGGGGTCCACAGTTCCCTTGCCCTGGTGGATTTCTCATCTCCACCCACTTCCCAGCTTAGTTGTAGGAAAGCTTCAACACCTCTCAGGGGTTGACAGGCTCCTGCTTTTCCTGTAGGAGCTTCCAGTGTGAAGATAAGTTGGAACTCAGCACCTTGTCACGGCCAGGAGGAAAAACTCACCAATTGATGGTTACCCTGTATGTCTCAGCTTTGATTAGAAATGAATGCCAGGCTGAGGCAGGAGCATCACTTGAGCCCATGAGTTTGAGGTTGCAGTGAGCTATGATGACGCCACTGCACTCTAGCCAGGGAGACATAGTGAGACTCTGTCTCAAAGAAAAAAAAATGAATGTCAGGAAATGGATTGAGTAGGACTTTAATATTCTTGGGGGTGCCTGAAAATCAACTCCTAGGAGAATATTTTGTCAGATTAGTTTGCTACCTTAATTGTTTTTTATCCTTGTTATGCAATAATTGCAAGGTGGGGCAAGGTGGCAGCCCAGCAGCTGACAGTGTGACCTCAGTCCCCAGTGTCATTCTTTCTGAGCTTCAGAACGCTGGGCAAGTTGCTCAGACTCTCTAAGCCTCTGTTTTTTGTCCTTAAACTGGTCTAATACCAGCATACACCCTGGAGAGCTAAGTGAGAGTCAGATAAAATGCACCAGAAGAGGCTTAGCACAGTTTGTGACACCTGAAAATAACTCATTAGTATGCAGCTAGTGTCACTATTTTGCAGTGCCATGGGATACTTTGAAGAGCAGCAATTTTAACTCACTTCATTTGTATACTGTGTGACATTTGGACATCACCGGGGTGGTAGTGGAATAGGTTGTTCATGCAATCCCACCAGTAAAGCACAACCGCTAAAGATGGGAATCACTGCTGGGAATCAAGCATGGTCTGAGCAGGACTCCATTTGGTACCTGTGGAAGGTGCGCAGCCTTCGGTCGAGCAGGTGCTCCAGTGCCAGCACCTTCCCCAGCAGCAGGCCACGCACGGCTGTCTCCTCGCGACTGGCCGGGCTGATGCGCTGAGCAGTCAGGCGCCAGACATGAATCTCATGCTTCAGCTCTACAGAGAAAGGAAGGTGAAGCTTGAGTCTCCCATGACCTCAGACATCAGCGACAGCCCCCTCTGTTCACCACACACACCTGACACGGCAGACACACACCCTCAATGTGCAGGTAGCCCACGGTCATCCACAGCCATGGCACATGAGTGATTGTAATGGAACCAAATGACAAAGCTGACATTTAAAAATTACCGTGGAAGCAAAGTAACACAATTTCAACTCTTCGAGTGAAGAATAAATTCCTTTCTTGAACAAACACGTCAAAGCTAGTATCCCAAAACCATTTCCCCACCTGCAGGAAGTAGTTCAGTTCCACCTTCTGTCAAAATCCAGGCATTCCCCAACCTTTGAGGAATTTCAGGAGCAGATCTAGTGAAAATCAGAAATACAAGTATAATTCTCAGGAGGTGGCGCTCAGGACTCTCCAGTAGGGCTTTGGTAAAAGGCTGGAGACGGAGAAGCTCTCCCTTCCAACCATGCCATACTGAGCTCAAGTCTATGACACAGGAGAGAGAGATAGGTAGACCAGCAGTCCCCAACCTTTTTGGCACCAAGAACCAGTTTCATAGAAGACAATTTTTCCATGGACCAGGGATGGGGAGAGTTGGTGAGGGGCAGTGAGCATGGTTTCAGGATGATTCAAGCACATTACATTTATTGTGCACTTTATTTCTATTATTATTACATTGCAATATATAATGAAATCATTATACAACTCACCATAACACAGAATCGGTGAGAGCCCTGAGCTTGTTTTCCTATAAGTAGATGGTCCCATCTGGGGATGATGGGAGACAGTGATGCACGAAGTGTGTTGCTTATGTCCAGTCTATTTCATAATCTCATTTTGGTTGCTGTCACTGCAGAAAACCCTGCTTCACAAACATAGGATGTTGGAAATGGAAGCAGGCTTTTCAGATCTTTTGTGGCAATCTCAGGATATTCCACCTTGACTTTAATCCAGAATGTATGGAGATTTGAAGTTGTCTCAAACATACTTTTAAGGCCACCATCATTTGTCACCTCAAGCAGTTAGTCAAGATTTTCTAGCACAGACAAAGTCGATTCACCTGGCTTATTCACAAATGGATCATGGATCCATTCCTTCCCAGTTTGGGAGTCTTCTGTGGTTGAGAAGTAATGCTCGAACTCTTCTGAAAGCTGAGATAGGTGATCATGCACCAGCTGGGAAAAAGAAGGCCCTGGCTCAGTGTCTTTCAAAATCTCTGCTAATGTTTGAAACATGTCAAAAATCCCAATGTTCACTCGTAGCCCCCATAATTCCAGTTTGGCTTTGAATGCAGCCACTTTATCTGACAACTTGAACATGGTTGATCTCCCCTGAAGTGACAGATTGAGTTCGTTGAGCAGGGCAAATGTGTCACACAAGTAAGCAAGTTTTGCGATCCATTCTGTGTCACTGAAACGTGCCGCCAGTGGTGACTGTTTTTCTAACAGAAATCTCCAGAGTGGCTCTCATAACTCAAAAACTCTGGCCAGTGATCTACCTTTAGAAAGCCATCTCCCTTCTGTGTATAAGAGAAGATGTGTGTGCTCTGTGTCCACCTCCTCACAGAACTGCACAAACAGACATGAGTTAAGGGCATGTACTTTAATGTAGTTGGTAATTTTAATCACACCCTGCAAAATGCTGTTTAGTTCAGATGACGTCTTTTGGCAAGCCAGCATTTCTCTATGGATGACATAATGCATAGACTCCCATTCAGAAGCAAACTCCTTGACCCGAGTAGCGAAACAGGAAAGCCATCCAGTCATGGCAGCTGCTCTGTCCATGAATATACCGACACAAAATGACCATTTCAGTTTTCCTGATGTGTAACCATTCAAGGACTTGAATAGTTCTACAGCTGTGGTGTTGGTTGGCAACAAAAGTGTACATAACATATCCTCATGCACATCCCCCCGAAAAATATATTGCACAAAAACAAGCATTGTGCCTTGTTGTCAACATTGGTAGACTTGTCAACCTGGATTGTGTACCACAGCGACTCATTAACCCTCTCTAACAATTGTGCCTCAACATCCTCTGCTAGTTCATCAATTCATCCAGTTATGGTGCTGCCAAAAGAGGAACACATGCCACCTTCTGAACTGCGGCCTTTCCTAAAAGTTCACAGCAGATGTCCTTAGCAGCAGGCAGGATCAACTCTTCACCAATAGTAAAGGGCTTCTCAGCTTTAGCGATGCAATTAGCTACTAAGAATGCTGCTCTCAGTGCAGACACATTTGATGAAGTGGTGGCCTTCAACAATTGCTTCTATTCTTCATGTTCATGTTTTTTCCTTTTGAAAAACTCCAAAGGCTTGACTTTCAATGCAGGGTGCTCGGTCTCCATGTGGCAAAGCAGTTTTAAAGGTTCCATGGCTTCGCTGGATAGCTGGTCACCACATATTATACAAAGTGGGCTTGGCGAATGTGAATCACCTGTTACAATGAACCCATAATTTATGTAGGAATCTTGATATTGCCTTTTAAATGCAGTTTTCATTTTGTCGGCAGTCTTAGAGTCTTCTGCTGTCTCATCATTGGGCCTTTCCCCCTTTTCAAAGAAGTTCTTCAGCAACGTTTGTTTACTCATTTTTGCTGGGGTCAGCTTGTGGGCTTACCAAAACTGACTGAGATAAGCGCGCAGTGTGGGAAAAAGGCACAGACAGAAATGGTAAATAAAATAAGGGGAGGGCCACGTGCAGACTAAAATAAGTGTCAGATTCTGACTTGAAGCCTGCCACCAGATGCAGCTGTACAATTGAAGTATATCAGCTCACTTGCCACTACAAAGCCTGCCACCAGATGCAGCTTAATTGTCACCTGCTACTCCCTGATAGGATTCTGATATGACACTGCAAGCAACTGATTTATTATGGTCTCTGTGCAGTCAAACCTCTCTGCTAATGATAATCTGTATTTGCAGATGCTCCCCAGCGCTAGCATCACCGCGTCGGCATCATCAGGCATTAGATTCTCATAAACAGCGCGCAACCTAGATCCCTCGCACGCGCAGTTTACAGTAGGGTTCGCGCTTCTGTGAGAATCTAATGCTGCTGCTGATCCAACAGGAGGTGTGGACCACAGAGGTAGATGAAATGCCAAAATCAACAGGATGAGCAGAATTTCCACCTATCACTGAATTCAGACACTTTCTAATAGAGAAGAATAGAGAGAAATGATGTGTCAATGTATTGCCTCTTAAGATATTAAAATATTTCATAAAAGCTTACATTTAACCTCCATTTTACCATTAAAAACACTACATAAGTTTCTCAAAATATCCATTAGAAGAATACAAGAAGGCATAATATTTTCATAAACCCCCTCTTACGTGCAACGCACCACACTACATGTCACAAGAATTAAAGATGGAATTAAAAGACCAAAGCCGTTCAAGCAGGGGCCAGTGCACTTGACAAGCAGCCCAGGCCAGAGGCCAGGCACGGCAGTGATCCAAAGACCTGGGAGGCAGCATGAACATCGTGGGTCCAGTGAAAAGGGAAAACACCACCTTTTGAGGCCCTTCTAATCACCCACCATGTGGCAGACCCCCTGCAACAACAAAGCTGAGCCAAGCAGAGACGCAGGCTGTAAGTGAAGCCTGCCAGGGCTCAGGACAGAGGGAACAGGCAGAGCACAGGAATGCTAAATCTATTTCAGTTAGCATGGGGTTTTCTCTAAAGCTTCAGCCTTGGGAAGATGAAAACCCTTTAGAACTAGGATTCATAATATGTCTTCATCCAGTACATATTGATAGGTTGTAGCTTACTATTAATAAAATAAAAGGAACTTGGGTATAACTCAAAGGCCTCTTCAGAGAACTAGATCCATAATTTCCCTTTGAAAAGTCTCACACCTCATTAAACCACCTATGAGGTCACCATAACACAAAAAGAAGGGGGAAGAGGAGGAGGAAGAGGGGAAGAAAAACCAATGAACTCACTCTCTGAAACTTTGAACACAAAAGCACCGTATCAGGACGAGAAACGGTGCTAGCTTTGACGTGTGTGTTCAGGTGGAACAGCTTCAGTGTTAAGGTCAGACAGAGCCAGTATTTCATCCAGTGCTCGAAACCTCATTACATAAAAGGTATCATTAAAGCCCATCCATAAACTAACAGAGATCTTCCAGCCATTCTTTAAAGACATAACAGTGACGGGCCACTTTCCAAAGTAGCCAATCAGCTTTAAAGAGTTTAAAGAGGTTCAGCTCCAGTGCCAGCCCATAGGCACAGGCTGGGACTCTCTCCAGGTCTTTGTGTTTGGAAGAAACTAGAACCCAACACCGCAATGGTGAAGCTGACCTTCCAGGTCCCTGGGCTCCTTTCTGCAAGCGTGTCCTCTCCAGAGGCAACCTCACCCACCCTCATGCACGTCTAGAGCCCGCCTGACTTCTAACCCATCAAATCAAAAAGAACGAGTTGCTCTGCTCAGCTCAACCTGTGCATCAATGTTCAGGTAGTGCACTTTTATTTTCCTAGTTGTGGAATGAAATATATGAATTATGAAGGAATTTTATTGGAAGAGGCTTTTCCCAGAAGGGAGCTCACTTCCTTCACTCAGAGCTCATTTTGCCCAAACATGCTCACCAATCAGTTCCCAGGCTTCCTCCAGACCTCCTCTGTCATTTCCCACTCTGCCTGCTCTGCCAAGCTCTAAGACCACAGTCCTGACTGGCTACTCGATAGTCCCCTCTGAACCCTGTGCTGCAACCGCACAACTGAACACTTTAGCTCCATCCCACAAAGCTCTCTGCCCCCACTTTCTTAGTCTTATATGACATCATTGCTTCTCCAGGTACACAAGATTGAAATGTCACTTTGGTCTCATCAATGTCATTCTCTCTACATTTCCATATTTATATTATTGGGCACATAATAGGTGTCAGATACCATGGTAGATGCTAAAGGAGTAAAATTAATTGGTAAGTTATAGTATGGGCCTCCGACAAGCTAGAAAGGGATATAAGATGTAAGATACATCATAAACAA